AGATAAATCCCAATATTTCTGTGTAAAACGTGGGGCGTTACAACAAATACCACTAACCCATCTATGTTTGTGTGGCCTACAAACAGTGTCACCTACTTTAAGTATGAAAGCACACCCAGAGCTAAAAGTTAATTTCCTTTAGTTTCTATTTCATACTTTTTGGGCTTATTTGTTGTCTAAAAACAGATCGAGGTCATGTGCAGTAACAAATCTGTGGTTTTGTGCTGCATAAATAACATGGAATTTACTTTTAGTTACATACCTGTATATTTGTATAGCTACAAATCACTATAACTACAATACCAAGATACACTGTATCTTAGATTCCTGCAAATTTTGGGGACATTTTAATAGCTTTTACAAGAAAGAAAGCTTGTAGTTTGAAATAATGATTTCAAATTACACAAATGTGAATGTGAAATGAAATGTCAAGCAAAATCACACATTTGAATGACTAAATATGTTTTTAAATGTCTACTTTAAAGCTAAAATTCAGTAAAGATGATTTAAAGAATTTTTAGTCATTCCTCCCTTTTTGCTTTTTCGAGCCTACATGGGTGCTGAAAGCTATCCCAGCATGCACTAGGCTGAAGGCAAGGGAAACACCCTGACCAGTCCATCACATGGCCTAAACATCTGTGGATGCTGCATAATCCCACTGTTCAGCCAGTGGGAGGAGACGTTCACTGGCAGACTACCCTTTGTTTTCTGCAGTCCTTTTCTTCCTCGGCTGTTTAGTATTCGTGTCCCACCTCTGGTCCACAGCAGGGTCTCGGGCTGCACCTGTCACATGATGCAGGGTGGAGAGGAGCAGCTTGGAGTAAAGTGACGTAGGAAGCCGGGGAGGGCAGAGGAGTGCAGCTAATATGTGTCTCCTGTAACGGTGGCTAAAAATAGCTTCACCCACAACACCCTCCCCACCCCACTTTATCCAGCCTGCGTCACTTCACTCCCCTATCGCCTACCTCCCTACCACTCCCCACCCCCACACTCACTCCTTTCCACACACTCTCCTGAAAGCAGACATGTTTGTCTCATTGTGTCTAAAAAGAGCCAACCTGTGTAGTAGGTGAGAAAAACAGCAACCATGCATCTTCTCCCTTTCTCTTCTGTTTGTCTTTACATTGCTGTGGCAGTGTAGTCATCTCTACGTGTTTCTTTCAATCAGTGCTAACATGCTTCATAGATCTAAACTCCAGAAATGTGAAAAATTTCCTTGAGATTACTGTCACACACACGCACACACAGTCAATCCATTTTTAGACTTTATTTTAATCTTCACTGGAATTCAAAAGGAATCCTACACTGATCTCTTCTTGGTCTTTTCTCCTTTTAAGTGACTTGATGAACTCGATGTCCCAGTGAGATTTTGATGGAGATCCTGCCCTCCCTGTCTCCTCCCCAAGATTTCTATGGCAGCCTGTCACTCCCAACGTTTCACCCAGACGAGAGAGAGGGGAGAGGTAGCTGCTTTACATTCTTCAGGCCTCGCCGAGAACAATTCCACAGGATGTCCTGCTCTCCAGAGCATGCACAGACGCAGCTCTGACGTCAACTGTTCAGGAACACACACACACACAAACACACACACTCACACTGCGTTCATCCTCTCCTCCACATTCCTCCTACCCTTACATGGCCTCTCCTGGCATCAATTCCCAGATGTTTTAATCCTCTGGTATGTTGCACCTCGGAGTTCATGGAATTTCGGAGATAAAAACATTTGTATTCGAGTAAATCAGCCGTGAATATTTCAACAAGAAGTTTATTGATAGACTAAGAAAATTATCAAATGGCTGTCAGGTCACCTGAAAATACAGAATCAAAGATGGATGGAGGAGAGCGTTTATAGTATAGCTCTTCACTGATTTTAAGTGCATTACTTTATTTCCTGAACTGAGATTAAATTCTGATTCAATTGCATAAAATGTATTTCTTATCATTGTCTTAAGCTCAGCCATCTGTTCACACATACACGGTAAAGCAAAGCAGACCCCAAAATACTATTTATTTATTTATCTAGTGTTTATTTTTATCAGGACAAGTGTATAGCATGGACTAATGCCACATAGCGCAGTATTTATAGTCTAAAGCCTGTCCCTAGTTGGGCCTCTGCTAAAGCACTAAAGCTTAAGAGGAAAATACACAAAAAACAGCACAAAAGAAAAACAATGATGCAATAGAATTACCATAAAACTCAACAACAAGCCTTGGATCCCTTGTGACATGACTGACCCCTCTTTAAACCCTGTTTCAATTTGAAATTCATGGTATGTTTGAATTCTGTGGATAAGGTGGTCCACATATTGATCCCCTGAATAGAGAAAGATGTCTGTTCAAACAAAGGTTTATGATACAGCGTCTCACAGAACAGGTACCACCAGTAGCACCTCAGGAGTCAGATTATTAAGGAATTTACAGATTAGTTTAATCATTAGTTCAACATATTTAGTTTCTTATATTCTTAATAAACTAACAGCTTACTATCCAAAGTTTTAATTGCACAATGATATATATATATACACACTTATAAGAGGCTTGATTGTTGTAGAAACTGCTCATTATACAGTAAGTTTTAAAGAATAACACATTCTTCATAACACAGTTGAACTCATTGGTTATAAAACTCACCCTTGTTCGAGTCAATATGCTCAGGGTTTTTGCTGCTTGTTGGTCTGGTATGAATGTATGTTGGCAAACAGTGGGTAGATGTTGCTGGAACACATACAAGTATTTTCAGTATAAAATGGTAAACAGTCTCTAATGAGATTAACTGTAAATGTGTAATCTTACTCACCATTTTAATATGATCCTCAGATTAGGTTGGTTGGCATCTGATTTAAAGAGCAGATTTAGCTCTGCACCTTTATAATACTGTCAGATATTGTCTTTTTTATTACACACATTCTTCTTCCTTATCAAAACCTGGAGCCTACATTACCCACAATGCAACTTGACCGCCAACAGTTTGTTCAAAGATAGACAAGATAAAAACTATTAATCCCGAAAGAAATTAATGTACCAAAAGATTGCTCAAAAATTACAGCAGCATCAGTATATAAACAAGAGAGTAATAAAGTGAATGAATGCTACCACCAGTACTAGAATAACAATAAAGGATAGATACATTTAGGGTGTTTAGTGACTAATGTAGCCTCAATGCCTCCAGCAGAGAAGAGGAGTGGGCTACAGAGGTGAACTCACATCTTTCTGACACCACGCCACCAGATTATTTTAATTTTCAAACTTGTAGTCTTCAGACCCACCAGTCCCCTTTGGAGCCATTAAATACTTAGTACATCATTTTCCTAGTCCCCAAGACCTATAAACAGTCTTTGATGTGTAAAATCAGTTCCCCTTTAGATATTAGAAGATATTTTAGGCTACTTCTGAAACTGGTTCAATACATTGTCTATTAGCCTTTAAATTTATCTGAGTCCTGTAGAAAAATAAAGTTTTGTCAGATAGAACATTATACACAAGTTTTCAAACAATGTTTTAAAGTGCTGCAGCAGCTGGTTAGAAATAATTATATTGGATTCACTAACTCATCTATTATTTATGTATAAACTGAAGAGGGCCGAGGACAGAACGCTGGAACTCCTGCTGCAACGCGAGGTTGGGGTTCGGTGATCCACTAACACTTAACTATATGACATTATCTTGTTAAATATCAGGATACCTTTTGCATTCAGTTGAGAGAACTACACTTCTTCTTTGTGTGTTGAGTGTTAAACATGTGCATGTAAAAGCTACAGCTGTTCTCAGAGACGGCAGTGGAAACTTTTTTTGTCGCAAGCCCTTGAAAACTATATGCTGTGTTTATGTTTCAGATGTTTCAAGAGGTCTCTCGGGCCTTTGTGGAAGAGAGACAGGGGAGATTTAAATGTCCCACAAATATACTGGAACTTAAGATACATAGCCTGAGAAGATATGAGAGGCTATAAAAGTTTACACAGACATGGCATAAGTTACATTCCTCTCCTCCATCTATCCAAAAAAATGTCACACCTCATTCTTCTAACAGTTAAATACATGTAGGTCGTTTTGGTTGCTCTGAACTGACTCACCCAGTCGAATAAAAGTAATCCCTGGTCATGTGTACTGGTATTACCCAACCAGCTGGTACAGTTTTGGTCCAGCCTGCTGAAGTTTTGGGTAAAAGTTTTTGTGCAGAAACATAAAATGGGTTCTTCAGAAGTCTAACTCAGACCAACCGTCTTCTCCTGCTTTCTGTTATCATACAGGCACAGATTGGACCTCCTGTCAGTTTGCTGCTGACACATTTTCCATTTGTGCTGCGCCTTCATTTCCACATCACACAAGAACGTAAACTGCAGAGGGTATGACTGCACAAAGCGTTTTTGGATCAGAGTGCAAATAGTGTAGAAAATGTCGGTGGCCCAAACACAGTGGATGGCCAAAATAATCAAAACATATGGTAGAAATAACTTAAACATGGAACCAAATTACAGTTACAAGCATTTATTTTTTTGCAGCATTTGCTGTGAGCTACATAACAAAGCTCAGATCAACTGCAGGTGGATCAATCAATCTGTTAACTTATTATATACATCAAGACATCTTAATAACATTGTGCCATACACAGACTCACTTCACTGACTCATGGAATCTAGGTTTTGACAGACATTTACAAACCAGCTGAAAGATGTGTGTAGGGTGCAGGCAGTATTTACATTTTCTTGTATTAGGACTAAAGAATTATTATTTTAAGTAAAAACAAAATAAATAAATTATGCCACAGAGTGCAGGTCTTATTATATATATCCTACAAGAAGATAATAATCAAACCCTTCCTTAAAAATCCATTCTTATGGTGAAAATTCTCTATTTTGAATATTGAATAAGAGTGAAATTAAACTATTCTTCCTCTAGCTCCTCTGTGACCCTCGACATTGACGGCTGAGGGTCTGGATTTGGATCTGCATGAAGAATTTCCATCTTAAGTACATTCAACCTGAAAACAACAGTGCAACGCCACCACCACGCGGTCAAACCTGAGACTACAAAAACGTCCACAACAGCCATCTGTCTCCCTGCATTTTGTCTCGCAACAAGGAAACAGCGGCAGACTCAAACACAGCAAACGTGACGACAACAAACATATCCATTAAAATGTCTGAATCAATACAAACAAGTCAAACAGGCACCGCATCAACCGCCCTGCCAGCAGCTGCCATTCATGAGCAGAACGAGAGATGAATGAGGACGGGTCCTCTCCTCCATCTCACATCATCACCACCATCACCATCATCAGCAGCGCTGGTCACGTGGTGCGTCGGGAGCGGGCGGTGGGTGTGTCTAAACGCGTGTGGTTTCATTCATAACTACAGTCTTTATTTGAAGCCCAAATTAAAGTATGCAGACGGGGAAGGCTGCTGCTGGACCGCCGCTTCACACAGAGTCTACAGCCGGGTGAGTCCGACCCGCGTCCCGCTCACACACCAGGACCAGGTAGCGGACCTCCAAGGCGTGCTCGCGGTGTAATGTGCTACTATTTCATTATGTAAGATGAGGGATAGGAGACACGGCTCGGCTCTAGATAATCTCAGCATCTGATTTTTAGAGAGAGATGCGCGGGGGACCACGGCCACGACCCCCCCGCCCCCCGTAACCTAACCCCGTGTCCGGCCACATGAATGTTCCCCGTGTGACTAATGGTTATTTATTCCCCCGCAGGCTGAGAGCAGACGACGCAGAGATGTGGGACAGCCCCGATCGGCGGGTTTTCGGAGGAGAGAGGAAGATGCTGCTGCTGCTGATGCTGCTGAGGCTGCTGCTGCTGAGCGCCGCCGGCTGTACCGGGTCGCTGTAGTCAGCCTGCACAGCGCGGAGGGAAGCTGCCTCAACACCCGCCCGTATAGACCGTAAGACACAGCACATCTGGAGCACATCAGCATCCAGTCACACGTCAAGGGTGATATGCAGATACCCCCCTCCTCCTCTTCCCTCCGTGTTGGCTACTATGGTGCTTAAACACCACAAACATCATCACAGTCCACTGATGGAATGAGCGAGAAAGTATGTGGATGTCTGTCTGTCTTCCTGTCTGTCTGGCTGTCTGTCTGTCTGAGCCGCCTCGTCCATCTGTCTGTCCGCCTGATGTATATGGTTAAGGCGAGAGATGATGTGAGGATGTGACATGTCATTAGACACACACACACACACACACACACACACACACACACACTTTAGATGTATTTTTTCTCCACCAGTCGGTGTCAGAGTTTTCAGTTTTATAGTCATAACTGACAAATCCAATTATGGTGAAACCAATAGTCAAGCAGGTCAACGTCATTAGTTTAATAATATTAATTATAGTTACTAGGATAGAATTTTCTGCATATTGGAAAACGTAGGGCCGATATAATAATGAGAGGAAGAATGTAGCCTACAGTTCTAAGTATGCTTAAAATAAGGAAAAAGTTACTATGAATAAATTAAGTACAATATAAATAATTTTGATTGAATAATAATAATAAGAAATCAGAATAATGTAAGAAACAAAAAATACAATCCTTAAAGGGAGTTTGGAGCCATTATTCTCAGATAAAAACCCCTTAAAATACACTTTATTTCCTCTTAAGGTCGAGTGGGTTTGTTTGACTGAAAGAATGACTGATCTTCACTGTCTGTCCGGATATGGTGATGGACGAAATGCAAGTCAGTAAGTCAATAAATAGAGGAAGTGACGACTGAATGGATGTTGTTGGATGTGATTCTGACAGACAGGTTAGTTCATATAGTGACATTAGTATAAATAAGCTCCTGCTTTGAATTATTTTAAAGCTGCTTCTTGTAGCTGAGTGTGAGCTTAGACGTTTTATCAGCTGTAATAAAAAATAAAAATGTAAGACAGCCGGCAACGACATTGTTAAAACCTCTTCTGCAAGGTAGCTTTAAACCATTTTAACTGTTTGTGATTCAATCAGCAAAGAGAAGACAGATGTTTTCACCACATCTGTCCTGGGGGAGATAAAAAAAAGGCTACAACAGTTTGAAATAACAGTGTTTTCTATTCTTTTATTAAAACTCAGATTTAAGTCCATCTTTTAGTCATCTATAATCAGTATATAAACATGTAATAAATAGTTAATAACATTCTGTAACGCATGGTAAGCAGATATAAATGTGATTATACAATATGTCTTCATAGGAGAATTGTTGACAAATGCACATTAAAAGATACTTAAACATGTTCTTATTTCTCCATTATAGTGTGTTAAACCATTCATTACATGTTTATATGCTGAAATACTTCTATAAATCTCTATATGTGTGTGTGTGTGTGTGTGTGTGTGTGGTTCTCTATTGTTGGTGTGTTCTTGCTATTCAGAGCTTTGTCCTCATCATAGTTACCTTGAGCTGTTGGTATGTATGAGATATTACATAAAATATGACTCTCACATGGTGAGGGAGGCAGTGTGCGGCGGTGTTAGCAGTATGTGTAAGGAATGCAATAATGGATTGATGTTACACAAGCTGCACTCTGTGTAAATAATGATGTACTGTCAGCTCTTCTGCCTTTCTCTTTCTCTAAGCAAACTTGTCTTTCTGTCTCACTGAGTCTAATTTTACAGACGTTGGTCTGAAATCGAGAGACTGAGATGAGAGCTTATTGTTAGGGATTCTTGATTAATGTTCTTCTTCAGGAGACGTCAGTAAATCTTTTAAACACATTAGGGTTTAATGCACAGCACTCAATCCACACAGTAATGTCAGTTTGATAAGTCAAAGGGGCATTACACCAATTTTACACCCAGTTTACTCGTCATGGGGAGTACCATTCAGCCTTCAGTTGTGTGTTCTTTGTTGCTCTGAGCTTTTAGTGGTTGAGAGAATAACCCTAATGATGTCGTCAGTGGGGATGCAACGAGACACTCAACTCACAAATTATGACAGAAAAAGATCCCTTTATTTCTTATTATATTCATATATTTTATATTTTCTTTATCAAATAGAATCCTAGGTAGAGCAAAATAATGCATATTTCCTTTTCACTGTAAAAATGAAACTGAAGCTGTGCCACGATTGATTCATTTTTCATCACACTGATTTGAATCTTCACATATTTGTATCGCCATTTAACTGTCTCTCGTGACGTATCTTTACATTTCTAGTTGTCAGGGTTATCTTTGCTTTGCATCGATGACGTCAAACTTGTAACAGAAAGCCTTCATTACAATCTGGGATTGTGGGGTTTGAAAGATGTGGGTAATTACCAGGCATGCAAGCTCTCTTGAGAGAATTGTGAGACAAAAAGTCAGGATATCTTAGTCTCTGCTGTACTGAACTGATAATATTAATGACAAGACAATGAAGATATGTTATGGCCAATTTATTATTATTATTATTTATTAGGAGTGATCACACAATGCCCATAACCAATACACTTAAGGAACGGCATACAATAAATGAGCATTTACACAAAACATTTAAAAGTTCAGTCTGGTTGAATTCCGTATTTTTGTTGTCGTCAACAAATCCCATAAAAAGACCAAAACCAACAATGCCTTAATCTGTCTGTCAGTACTTTTTGACTTTCCCAGCCTGTCTGCAGCTTTAAGCCCATTTGTTACTGAAGACTTACATCTTTTAAAATGGGTCAGCAGTATACATTTTCGAAACAGGCTAAATTATTTCCTGGGCACTGTAGTTCCCAGCAAACTTTACTCCAACAGGAGGAGATAGTGTTTTTGTTGGGGAGTATTTACAGCGGTGGATTAATACACATTTGGTGTTGTGGGTATTTACGGCAGCTGGACCGTTTATGTTGGACTGACTCCAAGTAGACTACAGTGCCCACCTTCATCATAATGAAGAAACATGTCACCAGGTGCAACTGTGTGGCTCCTTGATGTGTTTTTAATAGTTTTTATACAATGGAGGTCTATGACTCAGAGGAATAAGCTATATTAAGCTTTGGCTACACAAACAACACTTGTTTGACAGGATGAATAAACTGTTGGTTTTGGTCTTTTCACAGGATTTGCTCACCTAAACTTCTACATTTTGATTTTTTCTGTATAAAATAACTATACATAAATGATCATCTGCATGATTGTCTATTGACTGACCTCGCTTTCTCCCATCCTCTGCAGGGTTCACTCACACTGACCTGGACCATGAGCAATGATTTGCCTGTTCTGACAAGTCTGAATGAGAACTCCACTGTGAGTACTAGCTGTGTCCACTCCTCCTCCTCACACTCTGTCCAACACCACCAACACATACTCTCCACACCGTCACATTAGCTAGCGTCCGTAGTCTGATGAACGACAACTCTTCCTTTTACGGATCAGGCTGGACCTCAGCCGAAAGCAAAAAAAAAAAAAAAAAAAGGACTGAGTTAACACCACAGTGTTCCAGGTATTATATCCCAGGTGGAGCAGCAGCGGAGGACAGCCTGATCTGTATCCAAAGAGGATTTGAGTCAAAAACAGGACTGAGTGTGCTGCAGGCTTTGTGTGCCATGTAGCCCCTGGAGGACTGGGGGGATTTCAGAGCCAGTGGCGGTGATTATCGGACAGTTAAAGCTGTCTGCATGGAGGGAGAACTGACAATTGTTTGCCTCTACAGTGTGTGTTAGAAACATGGCCTGAAGACTGGCGAGAGACTTTTGCTGCTCCAGCTGATTGATTGTGTTGTTCCTCCTGTTTGGCTGAGCTTGTAAAAACAGCAGATTTCATTAAGCTGCAGACGCTCTGACAAACTGTGTGTGTGTGTGTGTGTGTGTGTGTGTGTGTGTGTGTGTGTGTGTGTGTGTGTGTGTGTGCTGCACAGACACATATGTAACCGTGGGTGTAATCAAGGTGTGCATGTTGCTATTAGCTGTGTGGAGCTGTTACTCTTACACACAAACACACACACAGACATACATACATACGGCTTCAAACATTATACAGCATCTCCCCATAGGCTTCAGCTGAATGTAGGCCACTACAGCATCCAATGAATGTAAAAATATACTATGTATGTGTGACATGGGACTTAGTTTAACATGTTCTGGCCTGAAGCAGGTTTGAGGCTGAATGAAGGGAAAAAGGGTGTTTTTCAACAACTCACACGATTGTCAGCCCTCTCTGGTTTTATAAGTAGGAAAAAAAAGCTTCTTCTATTCAGCAGCTCTCTCTGTCCTCAACTTCATGCTGCTGGATTGAGCTCGTGATTGAAGTGGACACAGATTGATTGATGCTCACCGTCGTACCTTAACCATTTACGGTGAAAGCAGAGTCATCATAAAATCAGCTGTTTTGCTTTTTATCACACACACACATCCTCTGTTTTCTTAAGCGCCTCAATTACTTGATTGACAGAAGATAAACCTACAACTATTATTGATATTGGATTAATCGCAGTGAAAATGTCAAACATTCTCTGGTTGTTGTTCCTCCAGTTGTGAGGATGTTCCGCTTTTCTTTCTTTGTCTTATATCACTGCAGATTCAATATTTTTGGGTTGTGGAGTAATTGTCAGACAATACAAGGAATTTGGAAGCATGAAAAACATATAAATGTCATTTTTCACAATTATCTGACATTTTATAGACAAAAATGATTGATTGAGAAAGTAACAGGCAGATTAATCAATAACGAATGTCCAGTCAGTAGCAGGCTTTGGGGTCAAGGTCCCATTAAAGTCATCATCATCTAAAGCTCGGTCTGTGCTTCTCCACTCTACTTCCATCAAAGCCATGCACGATGACAATCTCTAACATTTCCATACATTATATAACACTCAATGCTGCAATAGGTGAATATTCCATTTGGGATTGGATTTCCCAAAAATTTAAATTATTTTCATTCTCTTTTGAAAACTGACATCGGAAGAAGAGTCAGGAAAGTCTGGTGTGGGGATTGCTCATGTGCGTCTGCATCCTCCTCCTCAGATTTCCATTTTTAGCCTGCGGAGGCCTCATTTCCCCCTCATTGAGAAGAGATGGGAAATTGAATTAAGGGTCTCGCTGACGTTTCGATTAGCATCCACAGGCTCACTCAGCCAAGACTGAGGGTATTAATCAGAGAGAGTAGAGAAGAGGGCAGTTGTACTGTCTACTGTATGTACGTGTGTGTGTAGGCAGGCAGGATGTATAGAAGTGTGTGTGTAATAATCACTGTGAGGAGGCAGGGACTTAAAAAAGTCTCAGTGTTAATTCCACTCCTTATTAAATATTACGCAGCTTATCTGACAGCGTAATGCGACAAAGAGATTCTGTGTTACTGCGAGCTCAAAAGGGAGAAGAATCAATTATTGTCCCAGCAGGCCTAATGAAGCCACCGAGCTCTCAACAACCAAACAACGCATCTATGTAAGCTTCTGCCTTATTGCGCTGTTAAGGGAATGAGTTATGGGCTCTAGCAATGTCATTTGAATACAAGCAATGGAAATTAAATTGATGTTGTGCAACCCAAACAAAAACGGAGCACCATGAGCAGCAGGGTTAATCGGATTTTGGTTTTGAGGGCTGATATTTGAGGTGACACAGTTGATATTCAGTTAGCAAATAAAGGCTTTTAGATAATTTTTTTAACTCACATTTCTGTGTATATGTTTTCATGTTGCCTCGATCACCATGTATGTGTGCAAATGTTGTAGTTTCATGGCTTAGTGAGGTGGGAAAAAGGGGGCTTAGGATCCACTGCACAGAGCATTTTTGGTTTGGGGTTTGAATAGTTAAATGCCACTCTTGTCATTGTCACTTGTCTCTAAAATATTTAGAGAGAGAAAGCAGTTAGAAGAAGACAGAAAGCAGGAGGCAGCCCCATCCAATTCACAGCTGGTAACAGGCCAAATTTCTTAAAACCTCCTGAAAAATAATTGTCATCTACTCTATCACATTGATCAGTATATGAACTCTGGCATCCAGTGGTGAAAGAAGCACTCAGTAAATGTCACAAGTCCTGCATTCGAAACTTTTACTTGAAGCTATACTAATTGACATTTATATATTTATGATGGATTAAATGATTGTGAGCAGTTTTAAAAGGACATAGTCATGAGCACCAAGCAGACAAAATGTAACCTTTAGCAGATAAAACAACAGCAACCTAAAAGGAGCAGGAATATTGGACTCCAATGCTAATGTTGCTTCATATCTGCTGGATGTGTAAGCAACATTATGCTAACACATTAGCTATAACAACCACATAAGATGCAATGCACCTTTGAGGTCCAAAGGTAAAAGTACTGATTGTAAGTTTTTATATCTGATTATTATTATTATTATTATTATTCATTTAAACTGCTATATATCCTATATATTTTTATAAGGTGATTTGATGTTTTGTACATAAAAAACCTACCTGTAACAAGTAGTAACTAACTATTGCTGTCAAATGTAGTGGAGTTGAAAGAATAATGCAGGATTTAGAAGTACAAAGCAGCATAAATGGAAATACTGAAGTACCTCGAAATTCTACTAAAGCACAGTACTTGACTGAATGTACCAGTGGTGGGGTCCTAATCTCTACTCTTCTTCATCAGGATGTGCCTGTATCTGCGGGCCAGGTGGAGAACTATGTGCTGCTGTTGGTGCTGCTGAGTGTATTTGCCGGGGGGACGCTGGTCCTGCTCTCCCTGCTGCTCCTCTTCTGTCACCGCTGCTGCATGGGTGGACGACGTTACTCCAGGTGGGTGCGCCCTGTTGAGTGACACACAGTGTGGGACTGGCAGGCCTGGTTTGTCTGCAAACACACTGGGATTACAGGAGCCTACGTTATAGTGACAGCAGTGGATTAAAGCTGGATTGAATATGAATTTGGAAGCTGTTTCAAATGTTTTTGTTTTTTGTGAAAGAGCACAAAGAGTAAAACTAATTTCCCCCTTTCAGAGCCAGCGATGATCTTGAGAAGACAAACACCACCTATGCTGAGGATTCTCAGCCCACCCAAGGTCAGAGCTGTGTGTATTTTTAAGTTCATATGTATTCTGGTCCGCGGCTGTCACTAACTCCATTATTTCTCTCTCTCGGTTTGTCCTTGTTGGCTTTGTCACTCAGAGATCACCATTCATCTGGATGAATCAGACGCTCTCTCAGCTTCGAGCTGTCACGATGGAGAGTCAGAACGATTTGTCTCCACTGGATCTACTGGCCGCAGAGTCTCCTTCAATGAATCTGCCCTTTACGAAAAGGAGAAGACGACTCAGGACAAAGCACGCAGGTACTGTTCAACTGAGCTGAGTGAGTGAGTTTTTACATTATTATCTGCTGATGAAGGAATTAGATTAGATGCTTCGTCCTCTTTCTCAGGTACACTCTGACTGAGGGAGACTTCCACCACCTGAAAAAGGCTCGGTTGACCCACCTTCACATGCCTCCGGCCCCGTGTGATCTGAAGATCCTCACCATCATGGAGTGCGACTCCACAGAGAGCAGCACCGTCAACATCAGTGAGTCGGCAGCTCCCAAACTGCCCCTCACCATCTACCAGGTAACTTGACACTGGGAGTGATTTATCTCACACATCTCACTAAATCAGGTTTGTTTTCTCTGACCTGCATTTATTTCTTTCCCTAGCCCACTGAGAGAAGAGTCCCTGACTGGATGGGACAGAGCCTCAGCGGCGGTCTGCCAGGAGACCCGCACCACTCCACCATCCTGGACCAGGGCCCCAGACAAGCCTTGTCAGCCATGAAAAAACAGCACACGCGGTCCCAGACAGTGAGTCCCACATACTTCCACTTTTCTGAAAGTTAGAAAATCGTCATTACATATTTTTTTTGCTGCTAATGAAACAGCAACATTTCAGGGTCAGACTCTCAGGAATGTCAGTTTTAAATCAGCTGAAATTGTTATCATGTTTTACGTACCTGCTTGAAACATTTTTTTTTTTTATTGAGATGAACTTTTTTCAAATTCTGCAAACCATTAATTATTTTCTGTTGTAAAATTGTAAGTAAGGCAGTATTCACGCAGTTTGAGCAGAAATACATTTGCACAGATAGATTGTTCAGTGCAGATTGATCCCTATGTATCACACACAGACAGAGCTGTGAAAAGCAGCTGCCACAGGCTCAACCCCACTGATGCGCTGTAACATCAGTTATCACTGGAACTGAGTGACAATATGACAAACTGCTGTCCCCTGAGGGCTTTGCCTCTGCCCGTCACGATTCATCTCAGCTCGTCTGCCTCAACCTCTCCTTAATGTCTCATCACCTCCCTCCATCCTCCTCTCCTTTCATCTCTTATGTCAGATGGAGGCTGTCGGTGACAGGGGAGAGGCTGAGAGTGAAAAGGGGATGAGAGGAGAGTTGACTCAAGCTCCGGGCCAGACCTCAGTTCTACATTTCTTTTCTAAACTGCGACGCCATGCCAGTCTGGAGGGCGCAGGGCCTTACTTCCAGAGGTGGAAGTTTGACAGCAGTCACCGGGCTGCCAGCCTGGATGCCAAAGGTTTGGATAAATGTCACAAATAGAGTAAGATATCGCATCTAGCTTTGCAAAGGAATAACATTATAATTTAAAAAACTGCAAGTAAAAAAGTGAAAAACATCAAGTTGACAACTATCTTCTTATGTGAATTTCCACCAGGATCCCCAAAAAGAAGGCCCTTCCAGAGGCAGAGAGCAGCAAGTGAAACCACTGATCACACCGAAGACAACTCCTCTGTCCAAGATGAGGTCATTGAATCTTTCCCACACACTCCCATCCAGACCAGTGGCCTCCAGTCACTCTCTGCAGAGTCTCTGTCTCACCCTGCCACCACACCCACATCCTCAGTCTTCCTCAGCAGGTACATCTCTTCCCATAATCACATGACTTGCACCATGAAATTCCCTGAATTGCTGATTAACTGACTGTTCTTTATCTATGTAGGCTAAAACTGGAGGCCATGGTGGAGGTAGGTGGTGGCAACAGCACCAGAAGAGCAGATCTCTGTTCGCCGACAAATGATAGTCACGCCCAGAGGAAAGAGCAGGCCACACCCAATGGAACAGGAGCAGAAAAAGGAAAAAAGTTTGGCGCAGTTATGAGGAAAGAAGCAGCGGGAGTCGAGCTAGAACTGGTAGACGATGACGACTTGTTTGGGGCACAACAAGAATCTGGCGTACAGGAAAGGTTTGAAGAAATGTCAAGGAAAACTAAAGACACAAAGACAGACCACATGACATCAGATGTGAGGAAAAAGAGCGAGACAGAAGTAGATGATGGAGATGAGGTGGTGTTGGGAGCTGAGGCCAGAGGAAGGGCCGACTCAGGTTCGTCTCTTTCCTTCTTGATTCGCCAGGAGAGCTCAGAAGCTCCTCCCTCCCTGTACAGAGACATTTGGAGCTTACGAGCCTCCCTGGAGCAATATGCTTCCTCAGACCAGAGCAGCACAGATCGGGAGTCCATCCGCAGTGATGCCGACAGCGTATCATCCCTCGGTGGTGCAGGAGCTCGCTCTGGCCTAGACAGCTGCCTGTCTCAAGACTTGGACGATGAGCCTGAAGGAGAAGGGGACGGAGAGGTGCTGGAGGGAGGAATCAAAGGGGCATCAGGTGGGGACAGTGAGATGGGAAGTGGAGCTCTAGGAGAAAGTGAAGCAGGGAACCGTAAGCTCCTCCAAATGGACAGTGGCTACGCCTCCATTGAAGCACCACCCAGGGCCCCTGAGGAGATGCGCCTTTTTGGGACTCCTGGAGCTCCTCGAGGGAAGACGGCGACCGAAAGAAGGTTGTTCTTCACTAGCTCTGGGAGAAAAGGTTCAGTGTGCGAGAGCATTGAGGCCAAGCTGTTTCAGGAAGAGCTGGAGGATGAGATGGCCGACAGCACAGAGACAGAGGAGAAACTAAAGGAGAGATCTCAAACTGGCAGCCAGGCTCTTACCCTTCAAGAACCATATCAACTTCTGAAATCCCTTCATCCTCAGAAACCTCCAGAATCACAACCACAGCTGATGTCGCCACTGTTGAAGCCAGTCCCTCCACCCTCTAGTCCTCACCAACCACGTCTCCGTCGCCGTGACTACAGCATTGATGAGAAGACAGACGCTCTTTTCAATGAGTTTCTCCGCCATGATCCACGGTTTGACCAGCAGGATTCTCCGCTGCGCTCCAGGCACCGATCCAGAGTTCACCTCCGCAAACAGTGGCAGAGGCACAAGCAGTACAGTGATCCAGGGTCAGGGGCTGGAGGTAGGTACTCCCCATCTTTGGAGAGGCAGAGGTTCACTCCGCTGCGTAGAGGTGACAGCGCCGGTTACCCTCTGGACACCAGGTATCACAGCACACTCTCACGCATTGCGAGTGCTGCCGATGAAGAGGCCAGTGAGGTTGCAGCTTGTGAGGAAGCAGCCAAAGAGAGCACAGAGAACAAAGATCCATCAAGTGAAGGAGCTTCGGGGAACGCCACAGAAAGTAAAGCCAACGAAAAGTCTGAAGACACTGAAGCAACAAAGAGTTGCGGAGAGTCGACTGGTGATGGTGATGGCTGCCAAGTCTCTACAAAAAAGGACAAAGAAAGCACAACTAGCCAGTCTTTGACCACTGTGACTACACAGAAGAGCTACATGGATCCAAGAGTCGACAACAGAAACAACAACAGCAGTCAAGCTATTCTATCAGAGGTTTCCCTGCAGACAGAGAGCAGCCTGACAGACAAGCTGGTTGTGTCAGTGGAAGAGAGGCTCTACGGCGGCCTGCGCAGTGCAGAGAAACTCAGTCAGGGAGGAACGGAGCGCATGCTTACCGTGTCTCACACAGCTGCACCTGGCTTCAGTCCCATATAACCTATTAACAATACCATGTTCTTCAACACCTTTATTTCAAATCCATTGTCTATAGACGACAGACTTGGAACATAATGGTCTATAGCACAAATCATAATGTGTTCGCCGTGGTAAATCTCAGTGTCCTTTAGATTTGGACAAATCTTCATTATAAACATGGTCTGGTAACTTATGCATCAAAACACAATATTCTCAAAAGACAGAATTACCTTCTCAATGGCCAGTCTCTTCCAGCATTTCCGTTCAGACCTTAATTTCCACTGTGACACCATGTGACATGTGATGGCCCTTTTTATTGGTAACCGTTAAAATCAAATGGATTCATTGCGTTGCTTTGAATATATCTTCTAGAAAAAAAACATTTTCAGACTTAACTGTGAATTTTCAGCATGCTACTATATGTCCAAATAATGTGTATGTGAATACTGTACAGTTTTAACTTTAAAACAAAAAGCACTTTGATGGGAAGAAAGATAACGATGGAGTTTCTGTCACCCGTTTCTCTCATTTTAAAACCATATCGTCCTCAAGTGTCCTTCTTGTCTTGATCACCATGAGGGTAAACGTCTCCATGAAAGCTTGTGATTTCTGTATTTGGCAATAGGAAGAATCACTGACCATGTAAATAACCCCATTATAATTCTTCAGTGCTTGCAGCCCTCTCATTAACACCATGTCAGCAGATCTGGAGAATTACGCACACTATATCATAAATGTAAAAACAGATGGGATACCCAGACACCACAGCGATTGAAAATACGTTTACCAAGAATTTTTATACTCATCTATTTTTATAGGATTTTTGTTAGTCATTTGTCTGTTATTCATCATAATTAAGGAGGTGGTATCAAGGAGCTTCCGTGGGCTCGAGTGAGTGTTGTATCACTGCTGGGACTCTGTTGAGGAGGAGACTGACAGATGATACTTTAAAGTGACTGACACAGGAGCCTCTCAGGCTTTTAGACAGATGGTCCAGTGACAGAGAGTTTAGGCTGTGAAAGCGGAGGTTGAAACTGAATAGCAGTGGTGCTGTCTGCTCCCAAATCCCAGCAGAACGGGATATACTCACTCTGTATTACTAAATAAAAGATCTGGTTCTAGTCTATACTTTTGTCAACAAATTCCATGAAAAGACCAAAACTATTAATCCATCCTATGAAGAATTACATGTGTAGCCAAAGGCTGATATAGCTTATTCCTCTGCACCATGGAGCTCAATTGATGTCCAAATATGCACTAGAGCACAAAGTGTTAATCCGTAGCAGAACATAGTGCTCAAAAATGCACAATTTATTCAAGTTTGTTATGTTTGCTAAAAACAACAGTACCCAGCTCTTTTAGGAAACTCAACATAAAACAAAGAGCATATATTTGTGACCGTTTCTAAATAATTAAATAAAGTTTAATAGTTAAACAAACACCTTGTTGGTTTTGCTTTCATGAGCGTTGTTGACATTAAGAAGACACAAATTGCCAGCCTTACCTTTAAGGAATGTTTCACAGGCTCAACAGCTTTCTTTCCACTCTGTTGCAGTATGGATGTAAAGTATAATTATTCGTTCCGCATTCTCTTCAACATGATGGCATTGCTGCATGTTATGTGTGATGAAGACTGTCACCTGGGAAACTGCAGTGGTAGGTACAGCTTGTTCCTTTTTTTCTTTCACACAGACTTGGGTTTGAGCTAGAGTACGTGTGTGCGTGTGTATCTTATGAAACTCATATCTTTGTCCTCATTCATGGTGAACCATCTGCTTTATTGTAAAATGAGTAGTGCAGAAAATTCAAATGTCTTGCAGCCTTTGCAAAGGCTAGACCTTGTGGGACCAACCGAGGCACATATTCATTTTGGACTTAACATTTTTCGGAATAAAAAAAAAAAAAAAAAAAAGAGCGACTCCTTTACCCATGATTTTATGCTGTTGTAATGTGATTCATGTGAGCTGATGTACTCTGTGAAACTGTCACAAAGCAGAATCATTTCTATGAGAACAGAAAGCAAAAAAAGGTGTCCTCACACTAGTCATACCACTGAAATATTCTTGCTAACATGAGACATCTCTTCATCCTCAACGTTTCTCCTCGTGTGTCTTGTTGAACGGAGAGCCTCTCCGTCGACCTTGCTGACGTGATAAGCGCTGCTCTCTCCCTCCCTCAGAGTTGTGACTCACCTGCTCTCTGATCTATTCCCAGCGAGGGGCTGATGATGGTCCTGGCTGCGTAAGAGGGGGGCAGGGCTCCCACTGATGTGATCGGCACAACAAAGAGCATCGCTGGAAAAACAGACGACCGGACGATTGTGACAGCACACCGCCTGCAGCTGAGCGGCAGTGGCTCTTGATATTCTAGGGTCTGACTACAAACTAGCAGCAGACATCAAAATAAAGATGAGTGTAGTATTCCTATCAAAGTATAACCTTGTAAAAGGACACGTAAAATAATAATAATAATAATAATAACAATAATAAACAAAAAACAGTACATAAACCACTGAGGTGTATTGCATAATAAAAATATACTCAACTCAAAGTTAAACAGAAAGGATCATCCAACAAAACAGCCTGTTTGGGACATCTTTTATATAAATAATAATTAAAAAATATTCATTGGAAAAAAGAAAAAGGAAAAAAACCTAAATGGAAATCAAAAATCCCCAACAGGTCAGCGGTGGATCTCAAGGCTTCAGTCTGTCAGTCTGTCCACAAACCAAGCACTTTCCCTTTCTTCCAGCTCTGTACAGCATGCAGTTTTTTTTATGTTGGTGGTAGTAGAGTACTATCATAATTATTCTCATCATAGGTCTAAATATAGAATTATTCATAACTTTTGTCATTTTTTTTCCTCTTAAATTTTTTACACATCACAATGTGTCTTAAAAACTGCCATTAGGGTTCTGTAAAAACAAAGGTAGTCAAAGAAAGGTGGGGTAGAGGGGGGTGGATGTGTGGGGTACAGGGGTGATGGTGTTTGTAACGTCCGGTGCAACCCTTGGCCCTCCTAAGAGGATAACGGGATGGAGAGGGGAAATTACTAGATGACAGAACTGGATGACAGGAGTTGAAAGGAGCCAAAACATAGGAGAAAAAAAAAAAAACACCATCTTCACAGCCAGTGCCTCAATCTCAGAGCAAAAAGAACATTTCATGCTGTCCTCCTCCCCGTCACTCATACCGCATTTTCAAAAGACTCTGCAGGCCAGTGGTCCAAGGAGGTATGAGGGCATTAACGTCAGCAGGTTTCTCTCACATCTGTGAGGACTCCGGACACAGAAGGACGGGGACAGATCAACCTGAGAGGGACAGAGAACATAGTATAATGGACATGATGGACTCCTCAGTTTTATTTTTAGTTCTTCTTATCACATTTAATGACCACAAATTCCCGAGTGAAAAGTCAATGGCATCACAGAAGTAGAACAAGAAAGTACTAATTGGTGCTGCTAACACGGAAAGGCTCATCTACTGGATGACAAAGAGAGAGACACAAACATCCCACAGCCCACTTCATCTCATCCAGGGTGAGTCATCGCCTGAACAAATTAATACACAGCATCTCCTCTGCAGTGCACCCATGACAAACAGCCTCACGCCGTGAGTGGTTTGTATGTGTGAGAGATTGAAAGAGCAAACTGTGGGTGGTAACTGGAAAGAGAGGAGGACAACCTGTTAAATTGGTGTGTGTGTGTGTGTGTGTGTGTGTGCGTGTTTGCAGCATAAATATGCTCCACTACTTTGACTGAATGAGGACCACTGACGAACCCCTAGAAGGTTACAATCTAGATAAATCCTGTCAGAGAAGAGAAAAGTGATGCTCCGGACCAGTCCAGATCTAGTTTATGTGACTGTATGGGAAACCGCCCATGCGTTTGCCTGGGGAGTGGTGGTGGTGAGTCAGAGCACTGCATGCTGAATATCAACACAGATTCTCTTTCTCCTCCCTTGTTTCCTCTTCCTCCTCCTGCCTGATATGCATCTCTATGTCTCTGTCTGTTCTAATGCATTCTCATCTCATCCCTCCAATCTTTTCATCTGGATTCGCTGCACCTGTTCTCCTTAGCTGTTTATCTTAAGCTTTTTCCTCTTTCTACTGTATTAAAAAAGGTGTCTTCTAAGCACTTCTGAAGCACAACTCAGTCAGAGCTTTTGTTAACAGACTACACACTCACCAGGTGGGTTGTTGCCGGGAGGGAAAGGGAATGGGGTCATTGCTGTTTGCAGGTGGAGAGCTTGCGGATCTTGCTGGCTGTGGAGACTCCTTTACGTGAGGGGTTAGATGAAGAGGAGGATCGGCGCTCGGCTTTGGCCTTGCTGTTCAGAGACCCCCCCTCTGTCCCGTTCACACAAACTGGCTTGGCTAGAGCTGGACTGTGATCTGCGTGCCCCTGATCCAGATCTTCTTCGGCCACTTGTCCTAAAGACACACAGACACACACATTAGGCTCAAGACAAATGCATCACACTTTCTTGCTGACTTGACCAGTGTGAGGTAATAGCCTGTTCACATGGTCAGTGATGACATGGATGGAAATTACTGCAGAACTGCTGCTGTAAAAACTGTAAACGTTTTTGTTTTTTTTTAAAGAGAGGACCTTTAAAAAGCTGATGTGTCAGCAGCACCAGTAAAATGTCAGGTCAAATAACCCTAAGAAAACCAAGAGAAAGAGAAACCTACAACAACAGGAAATCTGCTGAATAAAAAAATTGTCCAACCATAATGTGACTTGTTCGTTTCAAGCGTGTGCGTTCGTCTGCATGTGTAGCTGGGGCTGGGGCCATGAGAAACCTTTAATGAGTTCACACACACTGCAAAAACTGTAACGTCGAGGAGAATATTAAAAGAGGTGAGATGTGTTTACTGCCAAAAAGAAACATCAGCTAAAATTGTTGTTTCATATACCCTATTATTTCATTCATATGAAGCAGCACTGCTCAGCATGTGTGGGAGTGAACCCTGGGAAACCATTCATACTCCCACACCAAAACCATTTCATCCGCACTATTTTTAGATCACTTCATTCACGTTCTGCAGCTCCATTTGTTTTTTTATGTGGGGCACCACTTCTAGATACCTGACAACGACTACAGCGTTTATTATTACAGACTGTTGCCTAGCAACGGATAAAGGATCTGAATTTCGGAGGGGAAAAAGATAAAAGAAGAGTTGGGAAACAAATTAAATCAAATATAAAGACGGTGTCATTATCTATTCACCCCAAAGTCAGTCAACATTCAACATACACACAGTTCACTACTGAGAACATCTCAGCATTTTCTAAAACTAAATTAGCCCTCTGAATCTATGCCAACATCTCAGCCTTGGAAACAGTCAACCTATCAGAGTTTAGTAGGCAGGTTTATGAAAGGGGGCGTCATTTTCCTATGAAGTTATCTAAATGCATTTAAAGAAAAATACAAACAGAAAAATAGAAACAAGCATGGATGAGATTGACGCAGCTGTAGAAGTTACACAAGTCCATATACAGAAATAACTCTTCATCATTCTTTGATCAATGTGAAAAATGTTAACAGAGTTATCTCCATCTTTCCAACAGACGACTGAATCAATGAAGTAAAATTAAAATGGGATTTCAATCTGGTTGTCAGGCTACATAAAGAGAGAAATTAATGGTACACTTTGATTTACCTCATTGTGTTGCAGTTTTAGTTAATTGTGGAAATGACAGTTTCATTTATTGTGTCATGTGGGACTGAATTAATGTAACAGGCACTCCCTATTTAAAAAAACTGTGTCTGATGGTGTTGAATCATGCTGGACATTTTGACACAAAACAAGACAGTTCATTGTCTGTCCTTGAAACTCTGAGGACACAAAATCGTGTTCAACTAAGAAAAACAACCAAAAGCAGGAACATTACTGTGAAAGACTACAAGCAGTGTAAGCACCATGTTGACATAAGCAGAACAATTCCTGTTGTTGCTTTTCACTTTCCAGTGTAGAACACAGATTGTTCTTTTTACAGATTTTAGTCAGAGGCCACAACTTAGTGTGGGTTAGTTAGAAATTCGTGCATGTTTACATTTTTAAGCATATTTTTGACAGAAGGAAGTGGTTTAGTGTAACATTTCAGTTGCACTTTAGAAACATGCAACATTAAACTATACAACCAGGGTCCAGTGTTGTCATACAAGGAAACAGCTAACAATGCAGACAAACAGTTACTCATCTTCTCAAAGTCGAAAAGAAATAATAGAGGACTGATCAAAACAACACAAAAAACATTTACTGATCCCTGATTGCTCTTACACACCACACAATGTTGGAAAAACAACAACAAAATAAACATAACTAAATCCAGCTTGAGTTCAACTCAATGAATTGTCTGAGCTCACGCTTACCTGGCACTGTGAAGTCCTGAGTGTATATGATCTCATCCTCTCCATCGTAGAGCTCGTCATCA